GATTTCCTCACAATGTACTCAGGACTGCGCTCTCGCGTGCGACGTCCTCACAAATTATTCTGGAATTGCGTTTCGGCGCTCAGGAACCACGCGCGCGCCAAGGACGCCTTCACAACGTGGTATCTTCCCTCTTCCTTCGTCCTTCCCCCTCCCCTTCCTCCCACTCTCCCTCGTTCTTCCCCTCCTCCTCTTGCAGGGCCCGCGCCAATTCCAATGGCGGGCAGAGAGATGTACGCCCCCGAAGGATTGTCCGCCCGTTCCGGTTTGCCCGTACGTCTAAGCCCGCCGGCCCCAGCAAAGAGAAATAATCCCCCCGAAAGGGGTGTGATCGAAGACGAAGAGGGCGGGTATCGAGGGTGTAGGGTATATGTGTTGAATGACTCGAGGGCAAGTAAGAGCGTACAGCCTTAAAATGGTTGTTGTTGTTGTTGCTGTTGCTGTTGTTGTTGTTGTTGAATTCTCACTGCTGAAGAATAGTTATTGTTGATCCCCCCCGTCCGGTGCACATTGTTTTTTCGATTCAAATGCTCTTCCCGGGGCTCGCACCGTGTCTTTTGATATGGAAAGTCTTGAGGGTCAAACTGCTTTGTTGGCCCCCGGTTTACAACAACAGCGGCTCCCGCTTCAGACTTCCTCACAATGTATTGAAGAATCGCGCTCTCGCTTGGGACTTCCTTGCAATGTACCGCCGGATCGCGGCTCCCGCTTGATACTTCCTCACAGTGTATTGGCGAAGCGCGCTCTCGCTTTAGATTTCTTCGCAACTTACAACCGAACCGCGGCTCCCGCATGAGATTTCCTTACAATTTATTCAGATGCCGCTCCTCGACACTCAGGAATCGCGCTCCCGCTACATATCGCTTGGCGGTTCAAGCAGAATTTACGCTTCAACGACCCGCCCGCTCGACCCGCCCGTCTGGGCCTGCCCGCCCGACCAGCCCGTTAGGGACTGCAGTCGCCGCTCGCTGCCCTTCGCCCGCTTTCGATCCCCCTCGCTGCCCGTGATGGTTCCGCGGTCGCCTTCGTTCGCTGCCCTTTGTGGCCCCGTTGCTGCCTTCAGTGGCCCCTCATTGTATGCCCTTCGTGGCCCCTGCTCGCAGTCGCCCGTCGTGGCCCCATACGCATGCCCTTTGTAGCCCCGCTGTCGCCCTTCGTGGCCCTCTCGCTACCCTTCGTGGCCCCTTTGCTGCCCTCAGTGGCCCCGCTGTCGCCCTTTGTGGCCCCATATACGAATGCCCTTCGTGGCCCCCGCTCGTTCGCGCCCGTCGTGGCCCCATATGCATGCCCTTCGTGGCCCCGCTGTCGCCCGTCGTGGCCCCCTCTCTGGCCTTCGTGGCCCTTTTGCTGCCCTCAGCGGCTCCGTCGCTGCCCTCTGTGGCCCCGGATTAATTGCCCTTCGTGGCCCCCGCTCGCTCGCGCCCTTCGTGGTCCCATACGCATGCGTTTCGTCGCCCCGCTGTCGCCCTTCGTGGCCCTCTCGCTGCCCTTCGTGGCCCACTTTCTGCGCTCAGTGGCCCCGTTGTCGCCCTGTGTGGCCCCATATACGAATGCCCTTCGTGGCCCCCGCTCGTTCGCGCCCGCCGTGGCCCCATATGCATGCCCTCCGTGGCCCCCCTCTCTGCCCTTCGTGGCCCCGTTTTTGCCCTCAGCGGCTCCGTCGCTGCCTTCTGCGGCCCCCTATACGTATGCCCTTCGCGCCCCCGCTCGTTCGCGCCCGTTGCGGCCCGCGCCAACAACGGTTCCCGCTTGATACTTCCTCACAATTTATTCAAGAATCGCGCTCTCGCTTGGGACTTCCTTGCGATTTACCGCCGAATCGCGGCTCCCGCCTGATACTTCCTCACAGCTTATTTGAGAATCGCGCTCTCGCGTTGAACTTCCGCGCAACCATACGCATGCCTTTCGTAGCTCCGCTGTCGCCCTTCGTGGCCTTCTCGCTGCCCTTCGTGGCCCCTTCACTGCCCTCAGTGGCCCCGCTGTCGCCCTTTGTGGCCCCATATACGAATGGTTCCACGGCATGTGTTTCTGACACCAGTTCGCAGCTGTACGTCCCCCCGTGGGTGTATCCACGATCTGTTCTTTCAAGGGGGTGGTACGTGGCGCTGTTTATGGCGCGAACCATGGCGAACGTTATTGTTAAGTTGTGTTGGAGTGGCTGGCGCATGCCATGGCGCAAGCTGAACCGCCACTCACAGCGCAAATCATCAACCTCTCTCCTTTTTGCCCCTTCCCCCCTTCCTCCGATCCCTTCGTTCGTCCGCGTTCCCCCCGTTATCTGTTACCCTTCGTTTTCAAGGGCTTCACCAACCACACGTGGCAGGGAATGAATACACCCCCCCATCAGGGGCACGATCGATGACGAAGGGGGCGGGCATCCAGGGTTTGGGATATGCATATTGAATGACACGCGAGCAAATAAGAGCGAACCGTCTTTAAATGATTGTTGCTGTTGTTGGTGATGTTGTTGTTGTTGTTGGTGTAGTTGCTGTTGTTGTTGTTTGGTGCTGTTGATGTTGTTGTTGCTGTTTTTGTTGCTGTTGTTGTTGTTGGTGTTGTTGGTGTAGTTGCTGTTGTTGTTGTTTGTTGTTGTCGTTGTTGTTGTTTGTCGTCGTCCCACCCGCGACCCACCCGCGATCCACCACGCGACCCACCCAGCGACCCACCCCGCGACCTCTCCCACGACCCACCCCGTGACCCAACCCGCGACCAACCCCGCGACCCACAAGCGACCCACCCGCTACCCACCAGCGACCCGCCCCGCGACCCATCGACGCGACCCACCCGCGACCCACCCCGCGACCCACCCGCGACCCACCCCGCGACCCACCCGCGACCCACCCCGCGACCCACCCGCGACACAGCCGCGACGCACCCCGCGACCCACCCTGCGACTCACCCGCGACCCATTTGCGACCCACCCGTGACCGACCCACATTGGTTTAAACAAAGAATGTATTGGCGCTTGCGGCGAGCTCGTTGTGTAATGTGTGAAACTGTGGCGCCTGCGGCGGGCTTGTCCAGAGTCCCGCAGATTGCCGACGTTCCCGCCGCCCCCATCATTCGTATCCGCATATGCGGGGTGCTATGGTATCCATATATGCATACAGACAGACAGACAGACAGACAGACAGACAGACAGACAGACATACATACATACATGCACGCATCCATGCATACATACATACAAACACACACACATACATATATGTATAGGTGTGTATATATATACATAAGCGCACCACGCATCCCGAAATTGCGGATACTAGTGAGGAGGCGGGCGCGGCCGACGCGGCCGCCGAAGCGGCGGATGTCCTTGCTCTCGCCTTCATCCGATCCTCGGCCCCTCAGCTTGTTTCGGAGTGCTCCCCATCCTCTTCTTAATCCTCGTTGTCCTCCTCCTCTTCCTTCTCGTCCTCTTCCTCCTCCTCCTCCCGCTCCTGCTCCTCCTCCTCCTGCGTGCGGTGGGTCGCGGGTGGGTCGTGGGTGTGTCGCGGGTGGGTTGCGGGTGGGTCGCGGGGCGGTTCGAGGGTGGATCGCAGGGTGGGTCGCGGGGTGCGTCGCGGAGTGTGTCGAAGGGTCGGTCGCGGGTGATTCGTGGGCTGTGTCGTAGGTGGGTCGCGGGGTGGGTTGCGAGTGGATCGCGGGGTGGGTCGTGGGGTGGGTCCTGGGGTGGGTCGCGGGGTGGGTCGCGGTGGGTCGCGGGGGGTCGCGGGGTGGATCGTTGGTGAGTTGCGAGTGGATGGTGGGGTGGGTCGCGGGTGAGTCGCGGGGTGGGTCGCGGGGTGGGACGATGACAACGAAACAAAACCAAACAACGAGAATCCGCACCAGAAGCCCACTTCAGTCACGCACCCGGGGACAGTGTAAGGCCGCGTGGCCCTTTCTTTCATCGATATATATATATATATATATATATATATATATATATATAGGCATGTACTTATACACGCATATTCCTTCTGCCTGATTCCTCTCCCCGCGCCCCTCCTCGCCCCTCCACTTGTCTTAGCGCGTAGCGTCCCAATGCGTCCCTGGAGATGTATAACACATGCAGTCTATGGATTCGAGCCGAACTCGAACACATGGACACCAACCTATCAACACTTACACGCATATATACAGATATGTTTATATATATATATATATATATGTATATTTGTATGGATGTGTATATATATATGTGTATGCATAAAGACTCTCGGTGTCCCTCTTCTTGCCCCTGCGTCTAGCCCCGGCGTCGAGAATGTAGGCCCATGCGCATATTGGACCAGCAACAGATTTCATTCGTACCGCGACGGGGTTTGCCTTTGCCCCAAGGCCAAGCAGAAAGGCACTGCTATCGCACCCAAGGCTTCAGTGTCTTGCACGTATGCTCTTTTCGTGTTCCCTGTGTTGACTGAGCCCAGCATTCCTTCTTTATCACCTAGCCTGCAGGGGAGGTGGCGCTGGTTCTCCTGTTCGTCCTCCTGTTCCTCCTCGTCCTCTTACGTCCCTCCATTCCTCTCTCGTTCTGTCTCTCCCTCCCTCTCTCTCTCTCTGTATATCGTTATTCCTATACCTCTCCGTGCCTTCGATTTTCCGTTATAGTGTGTTGTCTCATGGTGTTTCTCTCTCTCTCTCTCTCTCTCTATCTCTCTCTCCAGGTCGATACATGTGTGTATATATATATATACATCCGCAGAAGGTATTTAGTTGCGCTGGCCCCATAAAATGAGTTGGGCTGGCAATCAGCTCTGCGCGTCCCCCGGTTCGCCCTCTTCTTTTTCTTATTCTCCTCCTCCTCCTCCTCCTCTTCCTCCTCCTTCTCCTCCTCTTCTCTTCCTCCTTGACCGCGGCGACAGCGGCGGTGTCGGATGCATTAGTTACCGAGTGTTGTTGGGTATCGGCAACCTTCACGCAGCCCCCAGAATATGTATTGTTTGGCCGTAGTTGAGGGGGTGATTCAAGAGCCATTGCGGTTCTACACCCTCCCCTTCCCTTCTCCCTTACCCTTCGATGAGGTCGGTAGACCTTCTCAAGACGCACACGACGGGTCCCAAGCAGTTCGTGTGGGAGGTCTTCCATGGTCGCTCGGTGAACCACGATGTCTGTACCCAGCTCCAGCGCGACACGCTGGTCCACTCGATGGAGGAGTGGGGGTGAGCAGGAGCAGGATGAGGACGAAAGGGATGATAGGGCGGAGGGCGGAAAGCGGAGGAGGAGGAGGAAGAGGAGGAGGAGGAGGATAAGGAGGAGGAGGAGGAGGAGGAGGAGGAGGAGGAGGGGGAGGACGGGGAGGATATTCATCTCACACTCACGCCACGCCTCGGATATGAGGGGCGCGGGAGGAAGACGAGATAGGGCCACGCCTCGGATATGAGGGGCGCGGGAGGAAGACGAGATGAGGAGGAGGAGGAAGAGGAGGAGGAGGAGGATAAGGAGGAGGAGGAGGAGGAGGAGGAGGAGGAGGAGGAGGAGGGGGAGGACGGGGAGGATATTCATCTCACACTCACGCCACGCCTCGGATATGAGGGGCGCGGGAGGAAGACGAGATGAGGAGGAGGAGGAGGAGGAGGAGGAGGAAGAGGAGGAGAAGGAGGACGAGGAAGAGGAGGATGAGAAGGCGGAGGAGGAATCGAGGAGGGAAGTGGGAGGGAACCGGGGGGGAGGGGTCTGATCTTCTCCGCCCGCGGAGGACTGCAAGGAGAGGTGCATCCAGAAGCGCCCTCAGGCGTGCAAGGACGGGGGCGTGTCGAACGCATTGTGCTGCTGTGCTCGACCTGCCCCTGGGAGGTGCAGCGGGGACGGGCCCAGTCATCTCATCCTTCTCCCTCGTCTCGCTACTCCACACTCTCATCCTACTCTTCCCCCTTCTCGGAGCGAGGGAGGGGAGGGGAGGGGGAAGGGGGGGAGAAGCGAGGGGTTTGGGGGGGACGGGAGGGGAGGAGGAGCGGGGAGGGCTGGGGGATGGGAGAGGGGATATGGGATGGATCCAGGAACAGGGGGGAGATAGGGGGGAACGGGCCAAGGAGAGATAAGGATCTGGGGAGGGGGGGAGGGAGGCCGTCGCCAATGCATCACCACCTGCGAGAAATTGACCATCTACTCGCGAATCCCTCTGCTCTCCTTTACCTCTTCTCCGCCACCGCCACCTCCGCCTTGTCATCCCCGCCTCTTTTCTCCTCCATGCTCCTGGCCCCACCCGCCCTCCTGGGCACAGGGTGTTTCGTCTTGACACCAGAGACGATTCAGAACGGCTGGGCGATGGCGGGCTAGATTCAATTCGGCACTTGTGGTATCTCGCGCCGCTCCTGCGACGGCACCAGCACGTCCTGGCAGCAAGCCGGCAGCTACGTCTCTGATGTTGTTCGGTGCGTTTGCATCCGTTGTTTGTGCCAGGGACGCCAAGCCCGTTACACACATCACACACAGAGCCATTGATTGTGGAACGAACCCGTTGCTCGAGCCTCCGAGGCTGGAAGTAACCGAGCAAGCGCCGACTCCGCTAAGTTGCGCCGCGGCGAGGGTGATAGCAGGCTCCAAGTCCGCCAGGTGTTCCTACACCAACGGAGGCACCTGGCGAGGCCGATGTGCAGCAGGTGGTCAAGTTGTGCGGCATTGTCGGGAGCACGGCTTCGCGGCAGACCCACCAGCACCGTCTGAGCGCATTGGTGAATGTCCCTGCTCCACCACATCAGCGAGCAGCCATCGCCCACAACGATGCCCAGCGCTTGATGACCATGACATAGCGCAACAGCTTGATCCAAAAGAGTTGGAGACCACCCTAGGCGAGTGTGGTCGCCGCGACCAAACATAGCAGGAAGGGAGTACCGAGCGGGACGCTGTTGTGTCACATCCTGCCGCAGGTGGCCCAGCAGCTGCCCAAGCCTCGCGCCTGGGACACATTCGGAGTACGCCTGCCTAGCACTCCGATCTCGACGAGGCTGGTAAGAGGAGAAGCTATCGCTCGCTGATCGGATGTCCGCCTTTACTGCACCCCTCGCGGGCGACTCCATTGACAAGGCCACCGAACTCCCAGCAGGGCGGAGGAGACGGCGCCGCGATTGATGCATCAGCTCTGCCGACGGACTCCGTCGCCAGCGCTGCCGCCGCGTGCGTTGAAGCTTCTGCGGCCGCCTTGCAGGGCAGAGCGGCTGCCAAGCCCCCCCCCGCTGCAGCCGCAGCTCAGCAGCTGCTGCTGGCTCTGCGGCGCCGCCCAAGGGAGGAAGAGGTCATGATGCTCATGGGAATTCTCATGGTGAATATGATAATGCTAATGGTAATGACGGTGATGATGATGGTGATGATGATGGTGATGCTGATGGTGATGATGATGATGACGACGACGACGACGATGATGATGATGATGATGATGATGATGATGATGATGATGATGATGATGATGATGATGATGATAGTGTTGATGGTGATGATGATGGTGATGGTGATGACGATGACGATGGCAATGACGACGATGATGCTGATGATGCTCATTATGATGCTGATGCTGGATCGAGAGCCACTGCATACTCCTGGAAGTCCCGGCACGTTTCCTGAGACAATTCTATCATGACATTCCTCTTGTCTCAGTGGCGCCGCGTCGAGCGACGAACTTTGACGGTCATCAAGGGATACACCGCACGCGAAGGCCTCTTCGCAGCCCCGCAAGCTCGTTGTCGTGATTGTTTTATATAGCATTCCCTCCCGCAGCGCGATCCAGCGCACTGCTTGACACCCCGCGGAACGCGCCTGCGGGTCATGAGCACGGTGGTTCGGCTCTGGCGGTGGAGTTTGTTATTTTTGGTCGCCGTGATTGCGAACCGCACGCCGCGTGCAGCTCACTTCAGAAGCTTTCGTCCTCGACACTGGCGCACGCTGCGCCAAGAGCACAAGCTGGTCACTTCTGGAAACCAGAAGGGCCTGCGCACAATGTACGAGAAGGGTCTGGAGATCTCACCTCAGCCAGCGACGAAAGGTCTTGGTGGGGGGGAAGCGCGAGAGGAGGCGTCTGTGGGTCTGCGGGGTTTCCTGCGTCAGCTCGTCAACGTACTGGCTTCTGAAATGCGCCCTGCTGACCCGGAATGATCCTGGTCACGTCTTTGCCCCTCTCGAGCTTCACATCCCGCGTACTGCCCAGGCTTGTGAACTCGATGACTGCACTGCCGCGTGGCTTTTGGTGAGAGAGATTATCTCAGTGACTGCCATGAATTGATGCAGGTGCGGGGCTCGCTGGATTCGGGGCAGCGTGCGTGTACGCGCGTGAGTGCCGGGATGTCTGTTCGGACAGCCGGCAGCAAACATGATGTCACGCGCTAGGTTGAAAGACATGACAGAAGCAGGATCTATTTCGATCCGATCGATCCGATTAGATATCGGCTCTGGCCAGCCCGATTTGATTCAATTACGATGTTCGGGTGATTCGACGCGGCCCGATGCAAGCATGGCGCTCTTGTGCATCCTGGCGCCGCCGATTCGATTCTATTCTGACTCCGAGCCGACGTGGTCCGATTCGATACACGTTCCGGTCCGACCCGATTCCCCGATTCGATGTCGATTGCTCCTGCAGAACTGGAGGTTGGAGAAGATCCACGCCTGGAGTTTTGAAAGACAGGGATGCGACTTGGGCTAAGGTGGAGCCAGAAATTATTGCACCGAAGCCCCGACACGCTTGGAGGTGCCTGGGACAGTGCTGGCATCGCGGCCAGTGTTTGTGAGCGACGAGGGCCACTAGGCCTTCGAGTTTGACTTGCGCGAAGAAGCACTCGCTTCTTGATACCCTGGGATACCCTGTTGAAAGCACTCGGCCACAGGGGCGTTGCGCTGTCTTGTTTCGATGGCGGTGCTGCGTGCGTTTGCATGAGAAGCGCAAGTCTCTCTGAAGCGACAATTCTGATGCGGCTTACAAGTCCACATTATGCACCACCATTATGCCGGGATTGTTGCTGGTAGTCATCTGGGTTGGACGATGGTTGGCCTGATGCGGAGTCGCTCAGGGTGACCCGCCTGTTTGCGTGATGATGTGCGATCCCCTCAGTCTCCTAGTGCCTCGGTGCCACGGGGGTGTGAACTGTGTCTCTGAGGAGAGAGATGTCTCGATAACGATACTTTCGTAGGTGCCCAGGGTTTCCCAGACTTCCTCATGCTCCACACGGGCTGCAGAAACGGGGGTGGCCAGGAAATCCTGGAACGTGTCCGGAGCCAATCGTATCTCGACATTCTCGTCCTGATGTCGTGTCGTCGTTTCTGGCACGCATGTTGGTTGCGCGGGCGCGTCCGTGCTGGAGCTGTCAGGCCTCCGCTGTCTGCCAGCTGTGGGGGGGTCTTCTCGAGTGCCGTGTTCGACCCTTACCTGGCATTGCTGGCCAGGAGGGCGGCAGCTGTCGCAAAGACGCTGGGAGAAAGGAGCAGCCCGGGTTCAGACGGGGCTCGCTGCTCCTCTGGTCCTTCCATGGCTGCTTCTTTGGTGGCCGTGGCGCACCCAGTCGCTTTTCTGGTCAAAGAGGGGTGTTGTTCCTCAGTCGGCGTCCCTATTGTTCTTTTGAAAGTTGCTCTTCTTTCTGGTAGCAGCTTGACTGTATGCCTTCCTACTCTTCCCTCTTCCCCTCTTTGATGCCATTGTGCGCTTTTGATCCATATATGTATATAAGTGGCGGCCTTGGCCGCAGGGGATATCTGCGCAGCGCCCTATCCCCGCCCCCTTCCCTCCTCCTCTTCTCCCTTCTCCTCCTCCTGCTCCTCCTCCTCCTCCTCCTCCTCCTCCTCCTCCTCCTCCTCCTCCTCCTCCCCCTTGCTCTTCTATCTTGGTCTGGGCACTTCTGTGACGACGGCCCGTGTTGAACGCAACCATCCAGCTTCCGTGCCGAAGACTGCTGGAAACCGCGAACGACCGCCGAATACCCTTCGCACACCGCCGAAGTCCGCCCGAAGACCGCCGAAGACCGCCCAGGAGCGATGGGTCACAAGGGGTCCACGGCCGAACGCGTGACATATCTCCCCCTGCTCCTATCCTCCTCCTCCTCCTCCTCCTCCTCCTCCTCCTCCTCCTCCTCCTCCTCCTCCTCCTCCTCCTCCCTCCCAGGTCCTCGATCCCCCCCCCGACAGGCTGCCCAGGGCCGGCCACGCGCGGCGCGCGCAGCGCCTCGCCTGCGGCGGCGTGGCTTCGCTTCGGCCGCCTCGAGGCCGACCTCCAGGGGGCTCTCCCGGGCCGTCTCGGGCTCTTCGGGGGCCCGGGGCAGTGGGGTCAAAACCGTCGAGCCATCCGCCGTCGAGACATCTCAAGATGTTCGTCTCTGTTCCGATCCGCGGCCCTGGAGGTCCCCACCCGTTCCCCGGGGGCAACTTCGCGTCCGGGGTCCATTTCTGAGCGTTCAGGGCCTGGGCCGTCTCTGGTGCTCGGGCGCCCGAAGCGTCGAGAACGTCAGGACGACTGAGACTCGGGTATAGCCCCAGAGATCCGACGCTCCAAAAAAACTGAAGCGGGCGGCTTGTAGCCAATTTCGGTCTCCAGGGGCTTTCGCCAGGCGCTGAGATTGTCAGCAAAATCACTCAGCGCGAAAAACCGGCTCTACAGAAGTGGTCCAGACTTCTGGGGCCCACGCATCGGAAAAAAATTGAGCAGCCGGATGTCTGAGGCCAGGGCCCGTGATAAGGGGACCCGGTTCGTGATAGGGCCCCGAAGCCAAAGCACGTGTTGGAATCACCAAGCCAGGTCTCCCGTTGATTTTTTTTCGGGTGGCGGCAGTGCCGGTTAGTGCAATGGGGCGGGGGAGGCGTCCCTAAGTATTCATCACTAGCCAGGTCCAATTAAGGCCAGTCCTGGCATTGCCCGATAGACATCCACCCTCGGCCCCCCAGACATCAGACGATGTGCTTGTTTCAAATCCGCGGCCCCAGAGGTTCGAAACCCCTTCCCCGGGTCACTGATCCAGGTTTGATGGTCCCAGGGCCCGTAGACGGCCCCCGAGGGCCGTAATCGATGAACATCGTCGGTTGAGCAACTCGTACGGTCGGGAATCTCCCGGAGCGCGTTCTGACCAGGATTTCTAGGAGAGTCCAGCCGTGGCGACGAGGGCTCGCCAGGGCGAGCAGTGGAATCGGTACCATCTCCCTCCCCTGATGCCCTCTAGCCTCGGACCTCCCTCAAGAGTGGTGTCCTCTGACGTCGGTTCCGCCGTACTTCTTGGCGGTTTCGCAAGGATGGCGGAAATTTCCGCTCTGCTTTTCAAGCTCTTTTAATGTCGATGTCCGCCTTATGTTGCCCTCGCTGTGTCCGCCATACTTTGGCGGATATATCTGCCCTGCTGTCCTGAGGCGAAAATCCCCACCTTACTTTTACGCACCGTTCGGGTTGCATTTCCGACACGATTTTAAGTCACACGTTCCACCAAAGTGGCGGCGGATCCGAAGTCAGCGTCGCCCTCCCGGCGGCACCAGGACAGGAGGTGCGACGCTGGCAACGGGCAGGAGGCGCCGACGGTCTGCAACGCGGCCAGGCTACAGCGTCTGGGCGGGGGCGGGATGGCCTGCGGCGTGTGGCACTGCGCCTCGTTCGACAGCGGGTTCCCGAAGGATAAGGACGCTCATCCTCGTCTGATGGGCTTGTTTTCCACCACCACAAGAAGTTGGAGGGGGGAAGGAGGTGGAGGATGAGGAGGAGGAGGAGGAGGAGGAGGAGGAGGACCCCTCCCCCTCCTCATTATGGTGGTGGCGGTGGAAATCAAGCCCACCATCGTCCTCGTCGTCGCAGCCGCCGTGGTCGTCGTGAGGGGGAGGGCCAGCGGAGAACGGCAGTTGGCCTTCGCGGGGCCCCTCGCCCCCACGGCCAGACGCAGCTCGGAAGACTGGTGCGCTTGGGCTCCCAGGAGGGCTCCGGGGACCGCTTTTGAGCTGCCGTTGTCGCAACTCGCCCCAGAATGTTTTTTGTTCAGTCCGCGCGTGTTCCTTCGGATCTCTGCTGCTCGGGCCCATGATTGGGCCGCGGGATTATCAAACATGGAGCCGGGACGAAAGACTAAACCCCGAAGAAGCGGTCGGGATTCCTGAGGCCGCGGAGTCAAAAATCAGATCGGCGGATGTCAGGGGTCGCCATCGTCGCGCCCCGAAGGATGAGGGCTCTCTTCCTCGTTTTCGTCGTCGCGGCCGCAGCGGTCGCCGCCGCCGTGGCCGCCGCCGTGGTCGTCGCTGTCGTTTGCGTCCTCACTGGCGTCGTCGTTGCCGCCATCGTCGTCGTGGTCGCCGCTGCCGTCGTCGTCGTCTTTTGTCATCTCCCCCCCTCATGCTCTTCCGCCCCGTCTCCTCCTCCCTCTCCTCCTGGTCCAGACCGTCCTCCTGGATGCGGGTGAGGAGGACGAGGAGGACGAGGAAGCGGTCAAAGGAAGAAAGAACATGAGGAGGAACGTTTATTGGAAATGGGCATCCAGATGAGAAGGACGCGTACGATCTGGCCATTTACGCGGAGGAGCCTGACGAGGTCCCAGTCTGGGAGGCTTTGGCCCAGTTGGGGAACGTTCCAGAAGGTCGCGGTGCTCAGCTCGAGCCCGTCGTCGTCGTCGTCGTCGTCGTCGTCGTCGTCGTCGTCGTCGTCATCGTCGATGCTCTCGTCGTCGTCGTTTTCGTCGACGTCATCGTCGCCGGCGTCGCCGCCCTCCGCCCAGGCAAATCTCAGATACTGCGGGTCGCAGTGTCGGCCCTGGACAGCGAGGACCTTGCTCTGCTGGTCGACGCCGTGGCGGCGCTGCTGCCGCGGAAGTCGCGGGAGGTCTGGATGACAGAGGTCCACTCCGTCTTCTGCTGTTGCTGCTCCTCCTCCTCCTCCTCCTCCTCCTCCTCCTCCTCCTCCTCCTCCATCTCGTCCTCCACTTCCGCCTCCACCTGGCCCTCCGCCACGATTTAACTTCTCCTCCTCCTCCTCCTCCTCCTCCTCCTCCTCCTCCTCTTCCTCCTTCTCCTCCTGTGTCCACTACCCTTGCCTGCTGCCCTTCCCCTGCTGGCTTGGCCTCCTGAGGGCTCTGGGGCCCCTGTCTGCCACGGATCTGCTCTGACGGAACCTCTGGGCCGAATCTTCCTCTCTCCACTCCTCATTTCTCTTCCCCCCCTGGGCATTTGGCTGGCTGCGCTGGGCAAGGTCCGAGACGCCACGCTTGGCGACACGGGGCCCAAGGAGGAGGCGCTCAAGCTCGAGGCGCTGCGGCATGCCCTTGACGAGTGTATGTTCGTGGACCTGTCGTGGGCGGGCGACGCGAACGTCACGAAGCCTCTGCTGGTGCACACGCATCCGCAGGGGAAGGTTGTACCCATGACTGTCGATGTGGCCATCAATAACGCAGAGGTGGTCGGAGGAGGGAAATGTACCGCTACCGCTGCCCCTTCCCCGTCGCCCAGGCTGGGTCCGCCACGAAGTTGTCAGAACGCACCCCGTGAGAGGTCTTGGGAGCAGCGGTACCGGCTTCTGTTTGTCGCCCCAGGTGAAACAGATTTCTGCCGACTTCGAGGCGGACTTCTTCTCGGTGCGGCAGAGCTCACGCTCGAGGAAGGTGAAGATCATGGTCAGCGACGTGTGCCAAGTGGAGGTGCGTATCAAGTGGATCTGGAGCTTGCGCACCCGCGAGCTTTATTTCCGGCGCCCTAAGCTGGTCCCTGTGGCGCAGGCCCTCTTCGCCGCCTACGACCAGTTCGTCACGAAATTGCCGGACTACTCCGCTCAGGTCGTCGAGCGTCTCACCGCGCCTGCCGGCTCGTGGTGGGATTGGTTGACGACCGGCTTGCCATACGCCTCGACAAACGGGCGCTACCTTCACCGCAACATGAAATCGGGGATGCACGACCACCTCAAGATCCACGAGGGGGACCTGATCGCGGACGACGCCGTGTTCAACTATCCCAAGGCGCTCAGCACGTCCAAACACAGCGGCGAGCCGGCATTCATGTACAACGCGGGCCTGTCGCTCGCCAACTTGTTTGTGCGGGCCCTCGGCGACATCCAGGCGCTGTTTTTCCTGTACTTCGCAGACCACCCCGACTGGGACGGAGACTGCAATTCGCTGCCGTCAAAGTTCAACCTGTACTACGAGCAGGCCGGCAGGGGCTTCCCATCGCACCGCGCAGGAGCGACGGTCGGCGAGAAGGGCGAGCCGCTTTCGGACGACGAGCGGGCTGCCTTCCTTGAGTGGCACTGGATCTCCAAGCCCTTCACGTTCAGCAGGGAATCCCAGCGGGCCGCATTCTTCAAGCAGACCCCCCCGATCCACGGCAAGGACATGTGGGCCACGCCCGATCAGTCCGAGCTCGGCGCGGAGATGTGGCCCCACGTTTGGTGCGAGCTGGTCGAGGAGTACTGGGTCAAGGACGTGAGGGACGTGGTGAGGCAGTCGATGTCAGCTGGCGAGGCTGCTGCCGCCGCCAGCATCCATGAGCTACTGAGCAACATGCTCCAGGAAGCCTCCCTGGACAGCCTCGTGGACGGCACGATCTCCAAGCCGCTCGTGGACAGTCTCCGCGAGGTCCAGCAGGAGCTGTCTCAGACCCCGAACCAGTGCCCGAGCGAGCACGAGCTCGATGACGAGGCCGCCGTGCGAGGCATGGTGATGTTCCTCGGGGAGGGCAAGTGGAAGGAATTGGCTGGCCATCAGGTCAAGGTGCTTGACCTGTGCCGCGACACCGTTTCCATGCTGAGGAAGCACGTAATCACCGTGTCTAAGCAGAACGAAGAGAAACATGTTGAGAAAACGTCAGATGAAGTCGACCATCAGATATTGGCCCTGAACTCTGTGGAGGACAACATGCACGATATCGAGATTCAATGGAAGGACGAGCAGCGCCTGATCGACGAGATGCTGAACTCGACGCTGGACACCTGGGCGGCCCTGAGGTCCTCTAACGACCTTGACCCCGCGGTCGCGGCGGTGAAGATGCAAACCTTCAAGAGCGCCAGGAACAAGGTGGAGGTGTCTTTGAGGCGCAAGAAGGAGAAGTTCGCGAAGATGGAGCAGACGATCTTCAAGGTCCTCAACGACTGCAAGGAGGCGCCCCTCTCTGCGATCTCGGAGGTCGAGTACCACGAACACAGCAAGGCCCAGACCTACGGCAAGTCCCTGGCCAACGCCGTCCAGTTGTTGCAGAAGCGCGCGGTCGCCCAGGTCTCGCCTGACATGATTTGTGCTTTTCAACAAAAAAACACATCAATACGGGGCCCTCTGAACTCCGGACGCTTTCCTATAGCCGGTCTTTCATATGCCGCCGTTGTTGGATGGTCCTGGTGTCCGGCGAGGGCCGCTGGAGGCCGAAAACGGCCAACTGATTTGCGTTGTGATGGTTTCACGACGCGAGCGGGTCCAGATGCTCTACGCCTGCCGGGCCGGTTTTGCATGCCGAGGCGTTTTGTTCGGGTCCCGGGCCCAGCGAGGGTCTTTTTGGGGGGGCCGGACGCTGCAGCAAACACGCCCGTCGTGCAGTAGGTTCGTTCTGGCCGGTTCCCCGCGGAGAAGGGGCGTTTCCCTGGGCCCGTTCCCCGCGGATGCTCCGCGCGAAACCTAGCCGTGTGACCGCGTATGCGTGGGATCGCGCCCCAGAATCCAGATCGCGAGGGCGCGGATACGGATACGTTCGCCGCTCGTGACAGCAGGTCCAAATGCTTTACGCCTGCTTCAACCTCCACTCGCGCCCCGACAAGCTCCCCGCCGACCGCTTCGGTGCCCACTTCTCGGAGACGTCCGCGCACCGCGACGCCACGCTGAAGCTTCTCAAGGAGGAGATCGACCCCAGCACGATCTCGGGCTTCGACATGGACGGCATCGACTTCTTCTTCCAGGAGTCGAGAAAGAACACGACATGAGCATGAGCTTTCGGATCTCCGCGCCGATTTCTTGGATCGGCGCCAGACCCCCCTGGCGGCGCCGCGGATCCAAGAAATCCTCGAGGACCTGCCCAAGTTTATGCATATTCAGCATCTTCTCCCTCTCAGGAGGAGTGCCAGGTCCCAATCGACGCCGACAACGAAAGAGCCCACCACGTGAGCGTGGACGAGACGGCGGTGCGGGCAAGAGTTCTATCCATGTCCTTTGCGTGTGGGAGTGTCGGGGTTCTTCCCCCAGAAACCAGAGATGCAGTGGATTTGGGTAAAGCCTGGCCCCTACAAGCTAGATTGTCATCCACATCCACCGCGCCTCGGCCTTTGTGGCGCCCCTGGACGCAGTGGATGTGGATACACGTCTTGCCTGCAGGCGGAGCCCCGCCACGAGTGCGAGCGCGTGGTCCTGTCCAAGGCCTTCCTCACGCTGCTCCCCTCCCTGTCCACGCGCGCGGTCGGCACCTTCAAGGCACTGCAGGCCCACCTGGCGAGTCTGCGCAGGAGCCCCCACAGGGGCCTCGTGAACGACATGATGCTCGAGGTGACCAGGTCAGGGCCCATCTTCCCCGGTAGCCAATCACGGGAGCCTTGCATGTTCTCGGAATTCCGTCTGTGGGTTGCGATGCGAGAGCTTCAGAATAGCCTCGATGTTGCGTTGATCAGTGGCCGTTAGCGTCGACTGGCGCTGGCAGCGCAGATCCGCAAGAGCCAGTAAGATGGCACGGGAGGCCCCCATGATTTGCCACGCGACATCTCGATCAGATCGCTCCAAACTCCAATTTGGTGTCGATTCCGGCCCGCTCGGCCGATTCAATTCCGAGTTCCCGGCGATCCGATGCGGCCCGATGCTGGCTCTGCGCAATTTTACATCCTGGCGCAGCTGATCCGATCCGATCCCGACTCCGTGCCGATGCGGCTCGACCCGACGTGCCTTCCGATTCGATCCGACTTTCCGATTCGATGCTGAGCGACCCTGCCAGGTTCGGACGGCGCTAGGACGAGGATAATCAGTTTCAGAGCGTTCTGGAAAGCTCTCGAGCGCTCCAGAACGCTCTGAGAAGGCCGCGGCGCTCGAGACATCGGAACCGCTTGATCTCCGAGTTTCTCGATTTATCCTTACCCGATTCTATCCTCGTCCGGGTTTCGTCTTACAGGTTCCTGAAGTCCCTCGACGATGGCCTGGACGACGACTTCTTCACCGCGTTCGCTTACCTCCGCGACGGCAGCCTGTACGGCGACCTGTGGGAGTCCCTGCCGCAGGCGCAAGGGGCCCTTGAGCGGGGCGGCGTCTCTCGGCGATGTCGTGGGCCGTTGTCGGTGTGATGCTGGTGTCGTTCTGCAGCACGCGCGGGACGAACACACGGCGAGGGATTTGTGTCCACATATGGGGCGCTCCAGAAAGGGCCCTGCTATCGAGGATCGGATGAGTTGCCATCTCTTCCACGCTAAAAAGGCGGCGGAAGGTCGGAGGAAGGCGGCGGAAGTAAGACGGCGGCGGCTCCGCCGGCGGAAGGCGGCAGAATGGCGGAAGTTGGCGGAAGCAGATGCCGACCTCCAAAGATCGTGCATAGCCAGGACCCCGGGTAAGGGGACCCGGTTCGTGGTAGGGCCCCAGAGCCCTTGACTTGGCCAGGATCACTAAACCAGGTCTGCCGTAGCTGGTGTTTTCTCGGGTGACGGCAGTTCCGCTTAGTGGAACGAGGCTGGGGGGCGTCCCCCAGTACACATCACTAAAGCAGGTCCCACTAAACCCAGTTCTGCCAACGCCCGAAAAGAGATGTCAATTTTTCTGGGTTCAGGGTGTTCCGGAATCTGCCATATAAAGGCATTCCTCGAGGCCATGCTTGATCAGCACAACTTCGGGTGGGTTGCTGTCTGGCCGTGACGGAGGCCACCCGCTATGTTAACAGATCCTCTGGTCCGCAAGCGTCAAGAGGAGAAGTCCAGTGAGCTGAAAGGACCAGGTTCAGTGAACCAGCTCAAAATGGAAGCGGAGAGCACTCTGTGTAAGTCGAGCCCTGCACAGGCGGCCACGACGATCGTGGCCACCCTCGAGCAGCGCACCAAGACGCGCCGCAGCTGGGTCGAGGAGAGCATCAGCCAGAAGTCGCGGCTCACCACCGGGCGCCGCGCGCGCATCCGGAAGCCGGAGCCCGAGGAGTCGGAGATCCCCACAGCCATCGACGGCTGCGTCTGCGAGGCGAGCTGGTCCGGCTGGCAGTGGAGCTTGAGGCGGGAAAAGCCACGCCCCACCCCCGCAAGCGGTCGTGGGCGTAAAGCCTAGCCGTATCCGCGGCCTCCCGGGCCGGGCCTCCCGGGGCCGCTCCCCCGCGCACAGAGCGGCAGTTTTGTTCACGGAGGCCTCGCGCGGAGTGCATCCGTGCGACCGCGTGTCCGCGCGCTCGCGTCCCGGAATCCAGATCGCGAGGACGCAGATACGGACGCATCCGCCGCTTTGTAATTGTTCGGCGGCGAGCCCGGGGGGGAAGTGAGAAGGGGCGGGCCTTCTCAGAAAGCTCGGAAGCCCCCTGGCCTTCTGAGAGGTTTTCTCGATCGTCCCCGGAGACACAGACAACTCTCCAGAAGGCGCGAGGGCTGCTGATAAGCCCCGCCGCCCTCTGAGAAGGCCTCCTCCTTCTCACTTCCCCCCGTCGCTCGCCGCCGAATTGTGTTTTCCCAGAGGAGGAAGATCTCATGATAATGATACGCTCCAGCATTTTTCCCAGACCCCCTGTTGTGCCACGCGGTTCCCCGAGACGAGGGCCGCGAGATGCTCCGGAAGTCCTGGGACGCTCCCTGAGCCAATCGCATCATGAAGCCATGCTCGCCCAGTGCTTGGCATCGCTCGGACGTGTATTTTTTTTCTCGGCGAGGAGCATCGAGGAGCATCCTCGAGTATCGGGCCAACAAAAACACGAACGACACCAGAAACATGCACATGGAACGGACGTCCGAGCGAAGGCGAGATGTGCTCTTCGGTCTCCGGCGCTGATGGGGCAGTCCCGCCTTGTTCCGTTCCTTCCTCGGGCGACGTTCATGAAAGAGCTCCTGAGTTGAATAGGGGTCAGCGGCCAGCCCAGAGGGGAGGTTGATGGGCGTGTTTTCTACCACCACCACCA